ACCTGGTGTTGCAACTCTATACCATATCATCAGGTCTTGGGCTTGATCCTTAGCCATATCTGCCATGTGGTCACATAAAATAAAGATTCCTTAAGAATTCCATAGAGGTTGTTGGGATTGCCACCCAAACCTTAAGTTAGAAGTTCATGATCTTAACCTTATCTTTTTCTCATGTAATTTTGCTAGCACAATCAGAAGCAGGCTGCCCAGCGGGGCTGGCATGGCTCAGTGGTTGAGTGTTGACCAGGAGGTCAAGGTTAAATTCCCAGTCAGGACACATGCCAGGGTTGCAGGCTCTATCCCCAGTCGGGGGTGTGCAGGAGGCAGCCAATCAATGATTCTCTCTCATCATTGATGTTTCTATGCCTCTCTCCCTCTCCCTTCCTCTCTGAAATCAATTTTTTAAAAATCACTCTTCTCTAAAAAAAAGAAAAGAAAAGAAACAGGCTGCCTACCCAACATATGTAATCACCGTTTGAAATCACCATTTGTGAGCATAGCGGTCAAGTGCCTCAGCGTTTTATCTCATAATGCCTTTCCCTCCACCAGCATTCCACCCTAGACTATCACTGATGATAGTCTAAGTCAGCGGTTCTCAACCTGTGGGTCGCGACCCCTTTGGTGGTCGAACGACCATTTCACAGGGGTCGCCTAAGACCATCCTTCATATCAGATATTTACATTACGATTCATAACAGTAGCAACATTACAGTTAGGAAGTAGCAACGGAAATAATTTTATGGTTGGGTCACAACATGAGGGACTGTATTTAAAGGGCCAGAAGGTTGAGAACCACTGGTAAGTGATTGTGATGCTTCTCATGCTCCAGATTATTAGTGTCCTCTTGTTCTATGCAAAGAAATTATCTGTGTGCTCATCAAACATATGAACAACCCAATCCTAGGATCCCATTTTGGGAGTCTATTTCCTGGGATCTCTTCTGGTACATTTACTGTATCTGTCAGGATCCTTGCACAAAACAGATGACACACTCTAAAAGTTTAACCAGAAAGATTTTAATAAAGAAACGATTTAAGAGGTGGGGATCAGGATTAAGGAACCAATGGGGGATGGTAAACACTCAGGGTTTAATACTGGGAAATTATTACCATACTAAGGCCTGAAGGAGTAAGAGGAAGGAACAGTGTTTCCGGAGCCTTAGAGACAGACCAGTGCAGAGGAGGCAGCCCCAAAGGATCTGTAATGGTCAATCAGTGCTTCTCACAGTTCAGCACAGATAAGAGTCCCTGGAGGGTGTGTTCAAATGCAGATTACTCCAGTACATCTGGAGTAGGACCTGAGAATTTGAATTTCTAATAAGTCCCCAAGTGCTGCTGCTGCTGCTGCCAAAAGACCACTCTTTGAGAACAACTGCCCCAGAGGAAATTTTTCACTTTCAGAACTGCAGCAAGAGGAAGGATTTGGGGAATTCATACCCCAACCTCTCTCTCCTACCACCCACTGATCTCCTGCTGCTGCCTCCTGTGGGCCAAATCCAAACAGAAGCTGGAAGGCAAGGGGCCTTGAGTAATGCTGTATGTAAGGGTCAGCCTTCCAGAGTACAGAGCAGGGCACAGAAGAGTGGAGAATGGGGTGGGGTGTGGGGGGGTGGGTGGGGAGGATAAGTGGGACAAAAGAGACTAATCAGAACCACTGTAAGAAGAAGATGGATAGATCAATAGAAAGATGGCTAGATGAATTAACTGACAAATCCTATAGAATAAAGAGGTAATATGCAAATTGACTGTTACACTCTCACACAAGATGGCCACCCCCATGTGGTCACAAGATGGCCGGCAGGGGAGGGCAGTTGTGGGCGACCAGGCCAGCAGGGGAGGGCAGTTGGGGGCGATCGGGCCAGCAGGGGAGCAGTTAGGCATCGATCAGGCTGGCAGGGGAGTGGTTAGGGGGTGATCAAGCAGGCAGGCAAGCGGTTGGGAGCCAGCAGTCCTGGATTGTGAGAGAGATGTCTGACTGCTGGTTTAGACCCGATCCCTGTGGGGATTTCTGGCAGTCGGACATTCCCCAAGGGGTCCCAGATTGGAGAGGGTGCAGGCTGGGCTGAGGGACCAACCTCCCCTCCCCCAGTGCACGAATTTCATGCACTGGGCCTCTAGTATTTCCATAAAAGGGTACATTATAATAATGGTTAATATTTAGTGAATGCTTATTACATGCCAGCCTAAACTAAGTCCTTTACTCAGATTACCTAATTTAATTTCAAGAAGTAGGTCTATTACCATTCCTGCTTTACAGATAAGGACACTAAGATACAAAGACTAGATCATCCGCACATGGTCACATGCTGGGGTCCAACCCCAGCAGGTCCAGGGGTCCCCAAAGGTGTGGACAGAGTCGGCGAAGAAGGAATGACACAGAGACAGAGTTCAGTTGACCAGCAGCGTAGCCAGGATCTCTAGCCAAGTTCTGGTCAGAATCTCCAGTGAAGTTCTGGTTAGGATCACCAGTCAGGTTCTGTGTCCATGTTCTCTTGCTAGGTTCTCCAGCCAGGTTCTCCAGGTTCTCCAGCCAGGTTCTGTAGCCATGTTCCCTTGCTAGGTTCTCCAGCCAGGTTCTGTCCAGGTTCTCCAGCCAGGTTCAGTCACCAGGTTCTAGTCAGGTTCTCTTGCCATGTTCTATCCAAGTTCTGTAGCCAGGTTCTGTCTCTAGGTTCTGTGTCCTGTTGTCTTGTTACATCTGTATTTATACCAGTTGATTCCAATCCTATCAATCTCTATTCCAAAGGTTAGGGCGTTTCTTATCTCCATTCCAGGGAGTAAAGATTATGTAGCTTAAGCATGATTGTTCGTTAAAGTGATTAACAACCCGCCTGGCACTTAGTTAAGGGGTTTTATTCCCTCCCTAACTTCAGAGGAAAATCCCTACCTGGGGAAACAACCTTTCTCGAAGAAGTGACCTTGGTTAAAACACATAGCGCCAAGAAGGTGAACAAACATATTAAGAACAGTATGCCATATACGCCAGGTCCCTTGAAACATATGCTATGCAGATGTTTCTTCCCTGCAGCGACTGTGTCAAGCAGCAAGGATGGACCGGCTCCCGACAGTCACACAGCTAGCAAGTGGTAGGATCTGAATCCCAACCCAGGCATGCTATCTGTGGAGTCTAACTCCTCTATACTCATCTATGATCAACAGACAGGTGGTAGGCAGGCAGTATAGGACAGTAGAAGAGTGTAAATTTTACAGCAAAATACACCTAGATTCAAGGCACTTGTTTGTTGTGTGACCTAGTACTCTAAGTCTCATTTCCCTTATGTGTAAAACAGAGATAATAATATGATAATAATAAAATTATAGTTTTCTTGGGAAAGCTAAGCAAGACAATAGTGGTAAAGTCCTTAATATGGACTATATTACTATATTGACTAGAATATAGTAAACAAACACAAATGCTAATACTGCTACTATTATTATTGCTATTATTGTTATTATTAATGATGGAAAGAAAGATAATTTAAAAACTTATGCCGAAACCGGTTTGGCTCAGTGGATAGAGCGTCGGCTTGCGGACTGAAGGGTCCCAGGTTCGATTCCGGTCAAGGGCATGTACCTGGGTTGCGGGCACATCCCCAGTAGGGGGCATGCTGGAGGCAGCTGATCGATGTTTCTCTCTCATCGATGTTTCTAACTCTCTATCCTTCTCCCTTCCTCTCTGTAAAAAATCAATAAAATATGTTTAAAAAAAAACAAAAAACTTATGAGGGAATCACCACCCCATCCGGAAGAGGGTCCAGAGCTTAGGTGGGCTGATTGAATGGGTATCCCACATATTAATTTCTCTCTTGAGGCCTTCTCTCCTGCCTATCTCTAGTTTTTCTTGTAAGGATGGGAAATCACTTGTCCCCTTCCCCATCTGTCAATTCCTTGAAATTTGGAAATTTGTCTGAATATGAGCTGGCCAGCCCCTCTCCTTAGAAATCCCCTCTTGGTTCCCAGGGTCGAGAGGAGGGGAAAAATGAAGGGGGCTATTCCGGGCCAGGCCCCCTCCAGCTGTTGCATTGACCCAGGTGTTGGACATGTGAAATTGACCAATAGAGAAAGGGGCAGAGTTCACTGAGCCAGGAAGTTGAATCCCAGAGGTCTGACATGTGAGATGCGGGTGCTGGGCCTCCTTCCAAGGAACATACCCTTTCAGCTCTGCTTGTCTCAAGGGAGGGCCTAGTTCCCACATAATGGATGGTCAGGCACTGTGATGATTTGGGGGCTACCCCAGGCTCCATGCTTGTGCTGAGGGCACCAAGAAGCCTTCTTTTCCACCTGCACCAGAGAGAAGAACCACAAAGAACAGAATGAGGATGAGGGATAAACCTAGGGAAGGGGGCCCTAGCCGGCGTTGTGCAGTGGTTAGAGCATCAGTTGTGCACCAAAGGGTCTCTGGTTCCATTCCCTGTCAAGGGCACGTACCTGGGTTGCAGGTTCCATCCCCACCCTCATTGGGGCACGGGCAGGAGGCAACCAATCAATGTGTCTCTCTCACACTGATATTTCTCTCTCCCCGACTCTCCTCTCCTCAATTTCTCCCCTCTCTCTCCCCCCTCTCCTTCTCCTCCTGCTCTCTCTTCCTATCCCCCCTCCCTTCCACTTTCTGAAAAATCAATGGGAAAAATATCCTCAAGTGAGGCTTAACAACAACAACAAAAACGACCTAGGGAAGGGGGCACAACTCCTCACTCTGGCCCCCAATCCTGACCACCACCCCTGAAGGCCAGCTCTGTGGTTGATAATGCAAATGCCACCAATGAGACGATAGTGCATGCCCTCTCAAAGGAGCTGCTAGTACAAGATGCCCTTCTGGCTAGACTGCTTCGATTCTCAGAGCTAAAGCCAAGGCTGCTGAGGGGGTGGGGCGGGGGGGGGCGGCGGAGAGGGAGGGAAAGAAGGGTTATATTCCCAGAAAGAGGCGGAGCTGGGGGGCAAAAGGGAATCCACAGAATGAATTCTGGAGGGGAATTTTTGATGAGAGATAGTGAAAGTTCTTCTGGCCCATAAATAGGAGGCAGGCGCAACCTCACACAGCCTTCCACACTCACATTTCCAGACCCCTGCACACTCCACATTTCAACTCCCAGCCAATCTCAGCCTCACGCAGCCTCCTGCAGAAGCTCAGAAACTCACTCACACGCACACTCTCGCTGTCAGTCAGCCTTTGTTCACCCTCCATGGCATCCCATGCAGCCGCACTTCTGGCCATCAGCCTGCTGGTCCTGTGGACCTCCCCTGGTAAGGCTGAGGGGAGGCTGGGGGTGGGAGGGGAGGGGAGAGGGGATGTCTAGCCCTCAGACTGCTTGGCACTGGGCATGCCGGACACTGCGAATTAGGTCTGCCTGGTTCAGTGAAGCTGGATGCCCTGTGTGTATGCCTGTGAGTGTGCGTATATCTGGGCTCCTGAATTCCAACGTGTGTCTGTCTCTTGATGTATCTGAGGGCCTCTGGCTGCCCCTGTCTCTGCAGGCTCTAATTCCTGCTGCCTCAGTATCCCAGGCAGAAGGAGAGAAATATATATATTTGCTTAACGTGGGGAGAATGAGAGACACTGAGGCAGAACTAATAGTCAAAATATTTAACAATTCGTAAGTCCTCTAACCCAGCCTTTTACCCGCAACCACCCCTTCCCCATCAATTCAATGCTTTGACCAACATTAGCTCTTCATTTGTGGGAAAGTCAAGAAGCCCTGAGAGAGAGATTGGGGTGATGGGGCAGCGAGAAGGCATTTGTGGGGCTCCACACAGTAGTTGTTTACCAAACAGCTTAGAAGTATTTCAATATATTTAGCAACCAAGAGGGTTGCTAAATATATACACAGCCTCCCTCCTCAGGGTCCCTATGTTCTAACACCACCTTCTTTGGCCTATGCCCACCCAGCTCAGGGTGGTGCCAACGACGCAGAAGACTGCTGCCTGTCTGTGGCCCTGCACCCTATTCCTGGGAATATCGTGCGAGCCTTTCGATACCTCCACATCCAGGATGGCTGCAGAGTGCCTGCTGTTGTGTGAGTTGTGGAGAGGAGCGCAGCATGCCTCACCTCCCACTCTACCCCCACCTCCTTCTCTCTCTTCTTCTTGCCAAGCGCAACCCCTTCGAGGAAGCCCCTGAAACAGTTTTGGGATGTGGTCCTCAGCCTCTGCCCCTCACACCTGGGCCTGCCAGGAAGCTGGGTTCCAGGGCTCCATTCTCTCTGACCTCTGACCTCTGACTCCAGGTTCACCACAAAGAGAGGTCGCAAGCTTTGCGCACCGCCAGACCAGCCCTGGGTGGACCGCATCATCCGGAGACTGCAGAAGAAAGCTGCCAAGGCAAGCCTGCCCTCCCGGCCGGCCTCCTCCCTCTGAGCCCCTGCCCAAGACCCCAGCCCAACACCATCCCTCTCCTTCCTCCCCCAGAACAAGCGCCACAGCAGTTAGCCCCTGGCAGCCGCCAAGGGAGCCCTGTGTCTGAGTGAAGAGATGCGAACCACTGCCACCCCGGGGACCCAAGGACCAGAAGAGAGAACCAGACCATCAGCTCCTCTGCACCAGACCTGACAAAGTCGGGCAGGGCCTGGAGTGTCTGTGAGTGTGAGTGTGAGGGTGTGAGTGTGAGAGGGTGAGTAGCAGGAGCAGTTTCTCCACACCCAGACTGCAATGCTTCCAATAAAGCCCACTGGTACCCACAGATTTGTCTGTGTGCTGTTTGTCCACGATGACCAGGGTAGAAAGGGGGAGATGGAATGGCAGGATCTATTTTCTTTCCTTTTTTTTTTAATAAATAATTCTTTATTGTTGAAAGTACTATATATGTCCCTTTTTCCCCCCATTGACACCCTCCAGTCCACCCTCATCACCACCCCTGCAACCCCAGGGGCTTGCCACTCCATTGTCTGTGTCCATGGGCCATGCATACATGCACACAAGGTAATTGGTTGATTACCTCCCACCCACCCACCCACCCACCCTCCCCCGCCTTCCCGCCAAGATCCCGCACTCTGTTCCATGCTTGGCAGGATCTACTTTCTACTCTGCAACCTGAGCAACCTTCTCATCAACCTCCACCTAATACCCTGTATTCTCAGGATAAGCTACCACAACCAGGGCTCCACCGCCTGTCTCCTCAAAAGCCTGTCACACTCCATGGTTCAGTGACACTAAACCTGTGTCAGTTCCCTGAACAAGCCAAACTCTCTCACACCTCCCAGTCTCAGCTCCCCAGAGCTGTTCCAGCACCCAGGTGTCTCATGGATCAGGTGTCACTGGGGAAAAGGGAGTTGTCAGGAACTTGCTCTCATGGCTAGAGGAGAGATAGGGACCCAGCTCTCCTGCCTGGGGGAAGTACCCATCTCCCATGCCATTCCCTCTGTTTGGAACGCTCGTCTCTCTCCTGCTCAGAGAACTTCCCATCTGGGTCTGGATGACTCCTCCTCCAGGAAGCATTTCTGATCCCGGGATGGGGTTAGATAGCCTCCCTCTCTCCCAAGCTCCCAGGGACCCCTACCCCTCTCTCCTTATAGCACCCATCACACTGAGTTATAATGACTAGTTTGTCAGCCTTCCTGGACAGGGATTTTGTCTATTTGGTTCCCACTGTCTCCCTGGTGCTCAGCATGCTGCCTGACACAAAGTAGTTATTCAAATATTTTTCTAGAAAATGAATAAATATGTGGAAAATGCTTAACAGCCAGGTGTGAGGGCTCATCTGTCCATATAGACTCTAACCTCCAGGCCAGCTCTCCTCTCTCATCCCGACAGTCTGGGCCAGGGCCAGCGCCATCTGGGGTCATACTTCTCAGGGTACTGACAGACAAAACTGGGAGCCAGGAGTGAGAGATGGGAGAGAAGGAGGAGCAGCCAGGGAAGCCAGAGAGGTTCTGTCTGAAGGAAGCTCACCAACCCCTGAAGCCCATATGGGCTCCAGGGCTGAGGCAACAATGAGACCAGGGGGTCCACAGGGGATGAATCTCGGTTCTGGGAGGTTCTGGGAGACGAAAGTCCTAGAACTCTCAGAACATCCTAGGGCAGCTCTAGGGGGAGTAAACCTCTTGTGTGTGGGAAATCCTCTGGGGCAGCTGGCTGGCCTCCCAACCATGGCCTCTGAGGTCCAGCTGGGAGCAGTAACTCTGTGCCGCTGGGGTCGAATGGCAGCTGGAACGCCAGACTACGCATCCTCACCTGGCAAGAGTGGCCAACATTTTACCAGATATAACTCATCTGGTAACAAAACCAGGCCTGCACGGGCCTGGGCAGCCTGGGAAGGGGAGAAGCAGTGAGAGGGCTGTGCCAGCCTATGCTGCGCCAGCACGGCCAAGGGTGAACCTGAGGAGGGTTGTTGAAGGATTAAAGAAAAGACAGACAAGAGAATACAGCTGGGGCACGGTGGATCTCCCGAGCCTGGATGAGGACACAAAAGACCCAGCCTGCAAGTCGATGCATTATTTTATAGTCTGATTAAAACAAGGGTAGATTAACATGTATACAAATGTTCATGTTTTGGCAACACTTGCTTCACCTCCCACAGCCCATTAGCTACTTAGGAAGGAATTAGGGAGGGCTACAAGGTCAGGCTTAATTATGCTGGGAGAGCTCTGCCCTCCAGGCTGGGACTTGTTTGTGGCCCTGCCACAGGTCAGCCTGAAGCTTGACCCTAGAGCCCCTCTCTACACCAGCCCCGCCTCGCCTCGCTGAGAGCATGACAGCTTCTTCCCCCCCCCCCCCCACCCGCCCCCTCTGCTCCCAGAAGCAGGTGTTTAAAACCTCGGATTTCTCAGGTCTTAAAGTTACAAGGAGTGGAAGGGATGGGGATTTTTCAAGAACACTGTTATGGCTGGAAAGTTTGGCTCTGCTGCCTGGGGGAAATTACCCATCCGTTCATGCATCCATGCATCCATCCACCTAATGTCCCTGCATCCATTAGATCTCCATCCATCCTCCCCCCGATCCACACATCCATCCATTAAACCATCCATCAAGTCAGCCAGCCATGGAGTTCAAAGGTCCCAGCTGTGAATAGCATTTGGATTCAATGCCCTGCACCCCAGCAGGCAGAGGACAAACATAGGTGTGAGGGGGGCACATTGCCTCAACTCCTTCTCAGTTCTCAGTGAAGCTACACAGAGGCCAGCTTACCATAAAGGCAGACACAGACTGTCCCTCCAGACCAGCCGTGGGCAAACTACAGCCCGCGGGCCGGATCCGGCCTGTTTGAAATGAATAAAACTATTGAAAAAAAAGACCGTACCCTTTTATGTAATGATGTTTACTTTGAATTTATATTAGTTCACACAAACACTCCATCCATGCTTTTGTTCCGGCCCTCCGGTCCAGTTTAAGAACCCATTGTCGCCCTCGAGTCAAAAAGTTTGCCCACCCCTGCTCCAGACCCTCAGGAGAACACGAAGATAGAATAGGGGAGGGGAGGAAGGGAGGCCTGAGGAAGATGCCACCAGGACAGAAGTCCCTGGACACACTACTTCCTTGCCACTGCCACTGGTTGTTACAGGAATAGGCCTTGAGCTCCGTGCTCAGCCATCAATCCCACAATCCTGTTTCCGCCCCTCACTGTTCAATTCTAGGCAAGATTTTTCCTTACTCACGCCCCCTCAAAGCCTTAGTTCCCCCATCTGTCAGGTGTGTGTGGGGGGGGGGGGGGGTGGCTTAATATTTTAGTCCCTCCAAAGACTTAACTCATGAATCTCTGGGTCCCCCTGTGGTTCACATGGGCTTCCTCAAAGTCACACATGTTCATAAATGTCGCCACCTCCTGGGGCCACAGAGAATCCCTCTGAGACTCAGGAAGGGAGATAATCCAGCAGCTAGCAAGCGAATGAAGAACTTAGAGGAAACCTGGGGGCAGACACCAAAGTCCCACAGAGAGTGGGCATGCAGCCCTCCCCACCTTTTCTCCACCCACTGCCTTTCCTCCTGGCTTGCTCCCTTCCTTTTTTTCTCATGTCCAGCCACCAATCCTTCCTGGGCACTGGGTTTGTCTTCTTATCTCCCACCAGAAACGTGAGAGCTTAGCCCAGCAATTTGGAACTTGTCCTGACTCACTCAAACATTCTCAGTTCTGTGACTTCATCTGATCAACACCTGCTCTCTGTTTCACCATAATTCACTGATAAGTGTGGCGTCTTTTTCCCCCCCAATATGTTTTTATTGTTTTGTGGGTTTGTTTTTGTTTGTTGTTTTTTTTGTGGGTTTTTTTAGAGAAAGAGGGTAAGGGAGAGGGAGAAAAAGAGAAACATCGATAAGAGAGGAACATTAATGAGAGAGAAACTGATCAGCTGCCTCCTGCAGGCAACCAAGCATGTGTCCCAACCAGAATCAAACCTGCGACCTTTCAGGACATGGGATGATGCTCAACCAACTGGGCCACACTGGCCAGGGCTGTGGCATCTATTTGTCCTGAGTTCTGGGGGGCCAGAAGCCAACCTGCCTCCCTGACAATGATGAAGCTGCCGGCCAGCTAAGGGGTGGTGTGGACTCCTAGCTCCCCAGCCAGGATACGGGGACCTTGCCACCTGCCTAAAGGTAGATACCTTCCTCTCTAGAGCAGTGGGTCGCCAACCAGTGGTCCACGGACCACTGGTGGTCCGTGAGGTCCGAAAGGTTGGCGACTGCGGGTTTAAGAAAACCTTTCACATGGTACCTGCTACAGATTTAAGGCCAGCAGCCAAGGGATACATCTCTACCCAACAGCCAGCATCTTCCTAAAGGGACCTGACAACCCTGCTCAGGGAGCTGCCAGCTTCATAGGTGGACAAAAAGCTACCTGTCCTGTCTCTTTTTTTTAATTTATTGTTGACAGTCCCTGTCCTGTCTATTGATAGAGTTCCCAGTGGAAGGGATTGGGCCTGTGCATCTCCATTTCCAGCATTGCTCTGCACAGGGGCTGGCACAGAACAAGCCCCAGTACATATCTGAGTAACAAAAAATGAAATTAAGCATGGCTCTTTCCCACGATGCCCCTCCCGCTCACACCTGGAGCACATCCAGTTCTCAGAACAGTGGTGCTGTGGGTGTTGGGTTAGGGCCAGCGCCATGCAGTTTTGATCATATTTTCATCATCTCATGTCAACTTCTTGGTAAACCCCCACCCCTGTGCCCCCCTTCTCTGGCCTCCGGGAAACTCAGAAACAGCTAGAAAACCTTGGAATTAGTCTCACAAAGGGGCAGGACTCCCAAGTAGGGAGTTTCCTTCAAGAGCCCCTCTGTACAATTAAGCAGGCACCTCTCTGATTAGAGAACTGCCTCGCTGGCCCCTAAGACTTCGCGCCCGTGGAAAGAGATGGCTCTGTGGTATCAGTTACTTCACCACTAAGTGCTTTACCGGCACCGGGCACTGCTTTCTGTGCTCCTGACATTCGCATGTAACTACCTAAGCTGGACCGCCGGTAAAGCGGCAGAGCTGAGGGTCCTCGCTGGGTAGTTTGGCTTCAGGATCTGTACTACATATACTGCCTCTCTTAGTTGACCCATCTCCTAAGTAAAAAAGGGGAGCAATACAGCAGGCCCAGGTCTGAGGAAGCGGCCCTCAGGAAAGAGGAAAAACCATTATTTTGAGGTCCTGACCATGTGTCAGCCTCCAAGCTGAGTCCTTCATGTGTATGACATATTGCATCCTTAAACAACCCTATAAGTTGGGGATCACTGGTCCCATTCTGTCTGAGGAAGCTGAGGCAT